GGAGAGGCAACGGGTTAAGTTTTATCCTGGACCAGATCCTGGCACAGCTCCCTGCAGGCCCACAAACACTCCTGGGAGTCCCAGAGAAAGAGGGATGGGAGCGAGCGGCTGATGGTGGGACTGGTACAGCCAGCTGGGTCGAGAGGCTGTAAACCACAGCGTTAGGCTACAAAGCTCTCAGAGCACAGAGGAGCCCTTGGGGTGGTGGTAGGCGTTTGACCAACACGAACAAGGGACCCTTCTACAGCCACCAGCTCTGTCACCTTTGTACCTGTCCTTCAAGCAGCTGTGGAACCCTTCCTCTAGCATCCTCCTCATGGGGCTAAACAAGCCCAGCTCCACCTCTCCTCACAGGACATGTCCCAGACCCCAACCATCAGCTCTGCTGAGATGGGACAGCTAGAAATGGTCAAATTTCCTTTGGCGCCTTCAGCACGGTTCTGAGCTGGTATCCTCTGAGCAGGGATGGCAGCAGGGCAGACCAGAGGTGACTGATTTCCACTTTCCACCTCAACACATACAAAACTGCATACTGTTTTTTTGACCCTTTTTTCCCCTCCACTTCTGCAACAGGCAAGAAGAAAAACCCAACACAGGTGTTGGCTAAGGGAGCAGCAAAAAGGTGATTACAAGCATCCAGCACAGCCCTTTGGGGCTTCCACAAGTCCCCACAGACTTGTTCTCAAACACATCCCATCCCTTCCACTGACACATGAAAGAAAACCACACAGTCCCCCGGGATCGTTTCTAAGCACAGTGACTGTTCCTGAGCATCCGGTGCCCTTCCAGTCACCCGCCTGTTGACGACCCACGGGTCTCCTGAGATCCCCATCTCCGGTCCCACAATTAGCACAGCAACAAAACCAATAGAGGGAGGAGCTTGGGAAAACTCCAGTCAGAGTTTTGGCACATGATGCCTCTCAGTTAGGAGGACACAAAGAAAATGGGCAAACGTTTGTAGAGACCCTGACAATAACCTCCCCCTCTTCCTTACAGGCCCATCAAGCTGGATTTAAAAAAAATAAAAGCGATGAGCTATAAACTGCCCAAATTGGGGCAGGAGCCAGCTTTGAACTGCAGAAACTTCCTTTCTAGGCAAGCTATTTCTAAAACTGCCTGCAATGGACTTTTTTACATGTTGTACTAAAGCATTTGGCCTTGGCACAGGGAAGACACTGGACTATGAAGTCTGCTAATTCCCAACATCTTCCCTGGAGTCTGAGCAATTGCATTTCTCTCTGCCACATCCAACCGTAGCTGTCACTGATGCAATAGACAGAGCGCAGCCTTGAGGTCAAAAGCTGCTGCGAGATCAGTGGGTGGGATGCAAATGGAAAAACACCCCCTATTTTTCATTTGCTGGGAAGAGCTGGCAGCTGCTTTGCTGCTATTTCATGCCAGCCTGAACCCCACTGCTGCACCCCTAGAAATACTCTGCAACAAGGCGAGGTTATATGGAAGGACACCAAGAGTCTCGCAAATAGGTCAGCTGCTTTTTATTCCTGTCTCATGCAGGACAGGTGTGGTGCAAAGGGACTCGGAGGCTCTGCTGAACTTGACAGCACCGCACTACTTTTGTGCTTGCCACCAAGTCAGCCCAATGCTCCCTGCACACGGACGTGTCAGGATCTCAGACATCAGCAAGAGCTGCAGGGGAGGAGGACAAATGCAGACCTTGGCACGTGGCATGGGACCAAGGAAACCAGCCTGGACTCCCTGCTCTGGGACACACAGCCACGCGCTGTGCCGCTCCAGGCCTCAGTTTCCCTACGTCCACTCTGCAGCACCATCCTCCCTCATCAGTATCCCATCAAGGGGGATTTTTTTAGCTCCAGAAATGTCCCCTCTCTTTAAAACGGAAAATATATCCCACAGGCAGGG